GTCCCAACTTGTATATGAAATAGTCAAACCATTGTCTTCACTTGGAGGAAGAACTCTCAAATCTTGGATCCAATCTGAAACCCAACCAGATGTGTTATCCTTTTCCATTACTAACACTGATAAAGTCAGTACCTGGGTCCAGTCTGAAACAAAAATTCTAACACCTGGCACATATTATAAAGCTGATGTAATTGAGTCATTCGCTGCTTCTGATGTTGAGTCAGGTGAAGAGACCGTATTAAAGAGTCATTTTGGCATTTGGCCTAAAATTGTACCTTTTTTACCAGTAGAAACAATTCCTTCCCTAGATAAGGGAGAAAATATATCTTTGTCAACTATAGCTACTATAGAAAACCAAGATAAAAACAATTCTCTACAACCCAGACATACCACAAACACTGTCCTTCTTACCCTTTTAAGTGGTTGGATTCTTGGAAGATTTGGCTACCAGAATGGTGGCAGCAATGTACAAATTACCCAGGCAAGCGGAAACAATACACAGATTACCCAGGCAAATGTAAGCAATACACAAATTACCCAGAGAAATGGAAGCAATACACAAATTACCCAGATAACCGGAAGCCTTGGTGTACAAGTTGCATCTACCAGCTCTCTTTCCTCAGATTTTATTTCTTGTTCTGACCCATCTTCATGTACATTGTCTCCTTCCTGTTCTTTCTTTACTACATGCATTTTACCTTCATCTTGCATTTCCCCATTTTGCTCAATTTCTTCTTCTATGACCTCTTCTCTTCCTTTGCCATCAATCATTTCTGATAGTCTGAGGCAGGAACTATCTTCCTCAAAATCTACTGAAGAGACAACTCAAAACTTTTCTTCTTTACATGCTACTCCAGCCACATTTTTAACAAAATCTCCCCTGGTGCCTATATCTCAATTTGAATCCCCAACTAAAACCCAGCCTGGACAACTGCCTCTCTCACATTCAGAATTCAATGTTTCCTTGGCTGAGTGTCGCCTTGGTGTGATCTGGATAGATGATCTCCAGGCTCTCTGGCTATTCAAGACAGCTATTGTTTCTCATGAAATCACAGGCAAGTTTTTGATAGTCATATGTTTGTGTGATTAATGCTAGATAAAAGATTCTTCTGGACCTCAAAGTCAGAATTTCTGAGTATATAAGAATTCTTATGCTTTTTATAAGCCTAAAATGCATATCATTTTCTTCCAGATCCAAAGAGAATAAATTAACTTAAATACTTAGGAAGTTACAAGTATTGAGGAATTAATATCTTATATGTCTTTAGTTTATGAACTGAGATTTATAAATTGAATTCATTTCAGAGAATAGAACTTTAAAAACACTCTTAGTTGTTACCAATAATTTATTTTTCCACTTGAAGAATGGAAATATTTCAAAATACCATCATCAAGAAAACTATGCAGACAATCTCCATTACTTCCTCCGAGTTTATTAAAGCTTTAATAATGTATTTCCAAGCATTTCCCTAAAGCAGAAATGTCAAATTTTTAAACACTTCCTAAAATATAAAAATAGTATATTAGTACATTTAGAAAAGAAAGTACAGTAAAACTAACTTTACTATATATAATATGTGGATTCTTTCCTCAGAGTGTGGATTGCGCCATGGCCTTGTCCCCCAGTGCCCCAACTGCTGGGAGGCAGAAATTGGTGAATTCCCTTGGATGGTTTCTGTACAGCTCTCTTTCTCTCATTTCTGTGCTGGTTCTATACTAAATAAACAATGGATCCTTACCTCAGCAAGATGTGCCCATTTCATGTAAGTCTGAGTTAGTCATTTCAAGGTTATGAAATAAAATGATAAAAATTGAAATTATTCATAGATATCTTTCTTCAACCAAGTAGGAATTTTCCCTTATTTCTTGAAAAAAAAAATGATGAATGTCCTTAACTGGAGTGATGACTTGCATTACATTTTCCTAGTTAATAAAAAATATCAAAAAAAATGTTTTTATACTTTGACCATGAATTCTATAATTTCCTGTTTTATTCCTTTTCCTCATATATCTCCAAGTAAGTGTTCATTATTTTCTAGAGATTAACTACACTATCCAAATTAATACAAAATTAAATGAATTATAAAATATTTTACTTTTATATAATTATCTCAGAAGATGATAACATACTAAATTTAAATTGCAACTCCATACAAAGATATCCCCCACCTTATGATTGTTCCACTAATGAGTTTTTGACTATATGTGCAACAAAAAAAATATATATATATATATATATACATATTTTTTTTTCAGTAGAAAGCATGTTTTTGGAAGTTAATTTTGATCTCTTCCTAGAATATAAATGGGCATTATAAAATTATCTTGTGATATTGGGCAGTAGCAATGAGTTGTAGCTTGCATTCTGTTTATTAGTATTATTTAGTAGGCTAAACATCTATGATCTATAACATAATACTATATCACTTAACCACAAGTACTAAATTCAGTAGTTTATATCTTTAGTGTATGTCTGACTTGCAAGATTTTCAAATTATTGATCTATACCAGGGAATAGGATACCTGGATCATATGGTGAATCTATTTCTATATATTTTTGAGAAATTTACAAATTGCTTTTCAGAGCATTTGTACTACTTTGTACCCTCACCAACAATGTACCAATATGTACCCTGATATCCTTACCAACATTATTAGTAGTATACTTGATAACTGCCATCCTAACTGATATGGATATAATAAATATCATTTTTAATTTTTATTTTCCTGATTTTAGAAATATTGAACACTTCTTCTTATATTTCTGGCTGTTTATCATTTTTCTAATCTCTTCTTATGGATTGTTCATTTTATTTTTAGTAATATGTTTCAATTTTTTATAGTATATTCTGGATAATAATATAGTGATGCAATTATATCAATATTTATAGCAGCATGACTAAAACTAGCCAAGTTGTGGAACCAGACCAGATGTATATCAACAGATAAATGGAAAAACAACTTGGGATTTATATATAATGAAATTTTGTTTAACCATAAAGAATGAAACTATTGTTTTGTCACTAGATGGATAGAACCAGAGAGCATTATGCTAAGTGAAATAATCAGAAAAGCAATGGTCTAATGTTTCTCTCATATGTGGACGTTAGTGAGTAATAATGGGAAAAGGAAGAAAATCTTGATATTCATAATAATATTAAGCAATTATGCTGTGTGTACATATGAATATGCCATAGTGAATTCCACCTGTATATTTATCTATAAATCCTCAATTATAAACAGGAAACAAAGAGAAAGAAGTCCATCAAAGAGAGGAAGTAGAATGTAGGGAGTAAGAGAGAAAAAAAAGGGGGCTAAAATAGAATTAATTATATTATATGCATGTCAAATGAAATCCAATATTATGTGTAGCTATAATATACTAATAAAATATTTAAATATTTTAACATATGATGGGCTTATCAGGACTGTAAATGGAGTTATATCTATGTTTAATGTAAGTAGATATATTAAACTGTCAATAAAGGGATATCTATTTTAGAATATCTATGAGATATTATAACTTTAGACCTGTTGCTATTTAAAATAATTTCTTTATTTCTATAGTAATAATAAATAAATACAAATATTCATTTTAATTTCTACATAACAAATTAGAGCTATTAATATAGACAAAGAATTATTTTATAAAATATTACAGTTGTAGATGGTTCATTTCATTTACTAGCTTTTATTTTCCTTCTCATTAAGTATTAATCAGTTCAAACAGTTTAAATAATAGAACAATAATTTATTAATTTATTTGTTAATTTTTGTGGTGCTGGGTTTAGAAGCAATGGCTTTGCACATGCTAGAAAAGTGCTCTGAAACTTAACTGCAATCCTCAATCCCAAGTTAAGAATCTTCAACAAGAAACATGATTGCATCATAACAATTACCTTACTTTTCATTTCTGAAAATGTTCACATATGTTGGGTTTAATAGTATACTGTGGTTATAATAATGTCTTATGTTTCTAACATATGTTTTGACAACATCTAGAAAAGATTAAAAAAATGTTTTAGTGCTCACCTGGATTTCATCTGATTTACATGACCACCAATATCTTTATTGCTCTAAAGTTATTTCACTTTGAAATGTTGAATAATAGAAATTTTGACAAATTTTCCCTCCAGAAAAAATGCTGAAGCCCTGGCCTTGGTCCAAGTGGGGCTTATTGATCTTCAGGACCCAGCACAAGCCCAGACTATAGTAATTCATCATGCTATGCCCTACTTAGGACCCAAAGGACCTCTAGGACCTGGGCTTATTTTCCTAAAGGAGCCACTAAATTTTCAGCCCATGGCACTTCCTATTTGCTTGGAAGAGAGTCTGGAACAAGAATCAAATATCCAACTTCATGATTGCTGGCTACCCAGTTGGTCTCTCATGAGAGGTGAGTAATACAGAAGCTCTGGGATGGATGTAATGATGTACTTGGGAAGACATTATTATATTCGCATTAGTCATAGAAGATTTGCCATTATCTTTCTCTTCATTCATATTTCAATCACTAGTCAAGGCTAAAGTGAAAAGAATACTTTTTCTCTTTTTTTCCATCAGGAAGTCCAGGGATTCTGCAAAAAAGACACCTAAGCATCCGGAAAGTCAGCACTTGTGCCCAATTTTGGCCTAAGCTAAATGAATTCACTTTCTGTGTGGAGGCCAAGAAAGCTATCGGGGAGGCAGGCTGTAAGGTGACAAATTGAGGGGGTATGAAAGGCAGGGTGAAAATCAAATACCCTTCAATATCAAATATTATATTTCCACATATTTTAGATGATCAATTAATAATCTGTTCCCTCTTTTTACAGGGTGACCTGGGGGCACCCCTGGTGTGTCATCTACAACAAAAGAACACATGGGTGCAGGTGGGAATCCTGAGTCATTTTGATGAACATTGCACAAAGCCCTATGTCTTCAGTCAAGTGAGCCCATTCATTTTCTGGCTCCAAGGAGTTACAAGACCCAGCCTTGCACCCTGGTCCCAGCAAGGACCCATGACTACTTCTGCTTCCATTGCCATTTCAATCTCCACCACTAGGAATGCTTCAGCCTTAACTTCCACTACTGCTTCTGTTCAGCCAAACTTTGTCTCTCTGCCACAGCCTCAGAGTAAGCAACAAGAAAATGATAGGAATATAATGGAGGCATGAGAAAGAAATGAAGAGAGTAATGGAGATATATGTGGGGGAAGAGAAGTTTTTTTTTCCCTTAGAATACATGGCTTTTCCAGTTAAAATGTAATAGTTATCAGTTACCTCAGAGCTTATGAATGCATTTCATATTTAGCATAATGTTTAAATTAATTAATATCCCATTATAATATAGATGACAATGTCTATCATAATTACCTGGCTGGGAAATTCATATTTGAAACTTCTAAATTAGAAGATTTAGAGAAGTAAAGTTATTGATCAAATTCTTAGAAGAAAAAGAGGAAGAAAGCTAAAACTGAGACTCAAACTTATTCCTCTAACACAAACTTATTTTTTTCATTTATTCTACATATGGTGAAATAATTTTAAATTAAAAATATTTTGGTGTTTAGCAAGTGATGATGATTTTACAGATTAAAAATTCTGTATTATGCTGTATTTTCTTTTTTCATTTGACTATGTATAACCTATCACAATATCAGACTATTTCACATTAGTATACTTCTCCACTTACTTCTATAGAAATCTATGTTGGTTTCTTGTACAACACATTCATCCAATAAAGCTATTTATCAGTTAAACTCTAATATCTTTACTGAACAATGCTTTTTAAAGGCCATATAATTGTCTTTTTCATATCATACAAAGTTTTTGTTAACTTATAGAATGTAAAGAAGTTTATACTGAACATTCATCTTATTTTTCAATTTCATCTATAGTTCCTTACTACTCCTATAGACAGGTTAGCTTTATCATTTTCTGCTTATATCTGTTTTAAACAGCATTACTTCCATTTAAACATATTTGAGAAAACCTCAAATATATTTCTTTGACCATAATTTTTTTGAAAGTTTCAAATGTCAATTTCCCAGTTACTATATCTACTTGATAACTAATTAAGATTTTAAGTTTATCAAAATCAGTTTTCTTCTGCTTAGATACAAGTAGTTTCTCTTGAAAATTTTCATTAATTTAAAGTGAAACACTTTAAGGTGAAATGATTTCTGTTTTATTGCCTAACTGTACTAATAACTCCTAATAACCAAAGATAAAAACTAATCAAGGTTATCAAGGGGGTAAAGAAGCTGAAATGTTTTCCAGTCCTTTTATTAAAGATAATTTAATATGGTCCATAAAGAAACAATGGGCTTGTGAAGATAAAAGGAATTTTCTTTCAGGAAAAAAAAAAAAAAACAGACATAAAAGATGGAAAAGTTTGTTTCTAAGTCATGTTTCCCATACATAACTGTTTAGGAGAAACATCAGAGATCAAAAATTTAAAAAAAATGGATTTCATAACAGTTCTACCAAATTTACCATTACTGTTTTCATAGTTGTTTTTTTTTTTTTTTTGTTGTTGTTGTTGTTGTTATTTCCTCAGCTTTGGCAGACCGAATTTCTCTGAGATATACTATGCCTTGGCAAGCAATAATCATAAACTGTGGCAATCAAATTTGCAGTGGCTCAATTATTAGCAATTCTTGGGTTCTCACTGCTGCCCATTGTGTCAGGAACATGTAAGTTTTCCCATACCATATAACTCCAGATTTTTATGGGGTAAAGATATTTGGTGGGGGAATTCGTTTACATGATTTATTTCCTAAACCATGTCTCTTATCCTTATGACATCTTTGTTTCAGACTAAACAATAAATACTTTTACCATGTTTTAATGCTTGATACCTCTGCTAATCAAAGATTCTCTGTAAACTTTTTTCATTTCTAAACTCTGAATTCTTTAATGATTTTTCTGATTTTTCTGGAGGTATTCAAGAGCTATTTTGCACTTATAGCTAATTTTGCACTATAGCCGATTTTGATTCTAAGGTCAATGATTTCCTGGTGAGTCTAATTAATTAATTAATTTTTAATTAATTTTTAATTTAATTAATTAATTACTTTTTACTACATACGTAGGAATCCTGAAGATACTGTGGTGATACTGGGCCTTAGGTATCCTGGGGCACCTCTGAGAGTTTTGAAAGTGTCTAACATTCTACTGCATGAGAGGTTCCGGTTGGTGAGTGGAATAGCAAGAAATGATATAGCATTGCTGCTCCTTCAAGGAACTCCAACTTCCATTCAGACCTTAGCACCCTTGGGTCATGTAAAAAATTTGAACAGTACAGAATGTTGGCTTTCTGGGCCACGAATTCTTAAATCAGGTTGGTGATCACTCTTCTTATTAGGAGTATGGCACTAAAGCAGGTGATGATTGCATTTTAATATATGAGTTTAAAAATGAAATCTATCCATGATTGTCTACATTACTGCACGATTGTTTACATCACAAATCTTAAGGTTTTTATACAAATTAAATACTGAGAATTTAGACTTGTTTCATAGAAATCATTGTTTTGAACATGTCTCCATAGGATTTTAAAGTGAAATGGTAATATGGTATGAACAGTCAAATTTTATGAAAACAGAATAAATGCCTTCTTAGCTGTATTAACCTTGAAACAATGGGAAAAAGAAAAACTCTGTGTTTTTTAAAACATTTTTAAAGACATAAATATAAGTTTGTGTTCAAATTTGAAATCCTACAAATCAAAATAGGCATTGAATTTGAAAAGTGACACTTAAATAGTATTCAAATTTGGCAAAAAAAGACACAAAATGAATTTTAAAAGAATAGTGGAATAAATTGAGAAAATAAGAATTATTGGTGATTACAAAATAAACAGTATTTTAGCATAATATATTAGATATACTAATATAAATGATAATACTGACTATAGTCTTAACAATTGCTACATTAATGTAAACTTTGTACCTAAGTCTTTTGATATTCCATCTGTTTCCTAGGAGAGACAGATGAGCATCCAGAAATATTACAGATGCACATGATGCAAGCTTCAAATTGTGTCTCCCTCTACCCTGACTTAGGTAGATCTATTGTATGCTTCTATACTCAATCCAAAAATGCTGAAACAAATGTGGTGAGCCATCTCAGTTATTTTCTTTCTTTTTTCTCTGTTTCAGGATGACTGAAACTATAACTATGCCCCTATGTAAAGTGGAAAATAACCTACCATTATTAAGAAAGTGAATTCTTGCTTAGGGGTAATAAACATGCATTTTTAAATTCCAGAATCAACTTCTACAAAAATATATTGCTTATATTTGATATATCTGATGCATGTTATTATTTTCTATTCAATTGAGGAGCCAGCTTGGTTAATTTCCAAAATATTAGGCATTTTATTAAATTTCATTCAACTAACTATAAGACCCTTGCTTGTTAAGGCTTGCTAAGTCAAACCTTTTCTATTTCTATAATTGAAAAAGTCAGCTTTATGGTTTAAACTTCAAAGTTTTTATTTTTGTAGTATTCATTATATTTGTTGATTGGGATGATATACATATTCACCTATCTAATATCACATTTTTTTCCTGAGCATTTCCTTACTTGAAATTTAAAATACATAATAATATAGAATATTGGGTTAATGACTTAAATTTTTCTATCTTTTACTTCACAGGATCCAGTGAGTCCAGGAAGTGCTGTTATGTGCAGACCAATATCTGGTGGTAAATGGAAACAAATAGGCTTGACTAGTCTCAAATCTCTAGCTACCATCGTGAGCCCACATTTGTCCTGGATCTTAACCACTTCAGCAAAATCAGGACATCCCTTAAATCATGAAATTATACCTTTAGTGGAATTACCCAAATCTTCTTGTCCCCTAAAACAGACAAATACATTGTTAACTTTTTTGATAATGATTATTGTACTCCAGAGTTTTTTGTAGTTCAGAGATTAGAGTGAATAGTCCTATTTTGTTCATGGTAAATATGATTATATAAAATACCACATAACAATGAAAAAAGATTTATTTGTGTCATATAGGATATGCTTACATTATGCACCTGCAATAAATAGTCTTTTCCTCTGAATGACTGATTTATACTTACTCTCTATAACAAGAAGTGTTCTTTACTTATTTTGTTTCATTTTGAATAACTCATAAAGGGTATATTTAATAGAAAAGTTACTCAAAGGTATGTAGTGTGTGTATAGTTTCTTCTATAGACCTTTTTTTCTTTTCCATACACTCTGTAATTTAAGAAGGAACACAGGACAAGGAAAAGGAAGGGTCTTTAATTCTAAAACAAAACAAAACAAAACAAAAAAACCCCTATGTGTGGTAGGCCATACCATGAGAAAAAACCCTACATGTAGTAACTCCTGTGGAGAATTATACTCTGCCATCAGCTATTTCCAAAACTCAAAAGATTGTAATCCTTTTTGATGCTGGACTAAAATATTAAAGTCTGGAATTAGGAAGAAATGAAGTCAAACCTGGCCCCACAGAGGCATATAGTAACCTACCTTGGTGGTACCTGATATACAAAATTCACCTGTATCGCCAATCACATAAATTCTCCTCCTTTGAACTTTGAATGCAACTGTAATGGCACAAACAGCCATGATTTTCAGGGGCAAATCATAGACTGTGGGGATATGATTCTTTCCAGAAGTCATTTATAGATTTTTATCTTTATTCACTGTCAGGTAAACTCTTGGAAGGCCAAATTCATTCTTCATTTCTGGAATCATCATATGAGGAACCAAGTACTTTGCAACAGTCATTGAGCCCAGCTCTTCTTCAAACACTGACTACCCCCTGAAACGACCTTAGGATTCCCTGCCACATCTCACAGGGTAAAATATTGGCCGTAATAATTATTATTTCCATCTTTAAAGGGGAAAGCATTTACCAAGAAACAGATATCTCTGATGATATACACATAATTTCATGAAAACTACAGAAGTAAATATGAAAAGCACTATGTGCCAGTTTGTGCTGAGTAATGTTGAAATAAGAAGGCTCATTTTAAAAATATCTTAAATTAATAGAAAGACAAGGTGATTTTTTTTCATTCCAGGAATAATCTCTAAGAGCCATATACTTCATGGAGTATCCCCACAGTAAGCAATGGTACTAAAACCTGATAAGAAGAATTTGCACATTCCCCTAATGATGGGCCATAAATCTTCTCTTGATCTCTTTGCCTGACTGGCATGCATTAAATGAAATGTGGTGGCAGTGATTTTTCTCTTCTGGTAGACAGCTCAAAAGAAGTCGCAAAGGTCCACTTTTTAAAATTTTTTTCTTAATACTACAAGGTATCTACTCAAATTCTATGCCTTCTGGAAATCTGGGGAATAGGAGTGTTTACACACTCTGAATTTCACTGGAGAAGATGAGGGTAATTTGGCACATCCATTTTTACTATATTCCCAGCTCTGCAAAATTCAGTCTTCTCTGCACTTTGCATAAGAGAATGCAATCATATACATACCTTGGAATTGTAGGCAGTATATAAGACCATGAAAGAATATGCTTCTTCCTCGTCAAAAAACTCTGGCTTCATCATCTGGGGATGTTCTTTATAACCTTTTCAGAAGTAACCAGAGCATACTAACCTACCAGTATCCCCATGTCTGGGCTTGTGTA